AAATCTTTAGACTTCGAATGTGAAGAAACCTTGACTTGAGACAAAACGATCTGGGCAGTAACTTTCTTCAAGTAAAATGTGATAGGCCCGGGGTGGGGGCGTTTTGCAAAAGTTTGCACTGCTAGTGTTCTCTTGAATTCTTATAAAACAATTCTTGGGAGGATCAAATTTCTTCTCCCCTCCCCTCATGATGACTTTTACTGGAAATCTTGGAATTGATGATTTAAATCAAAGTATATGACTTTCAAAAACAATGTTTTATTCTTACAGATGATTCCCAACTTGGAATGTTTGAAGTTGACTTTTCAACTTTATGTAGATATGAAAGACATATACATTTAGTAAAAAAACATAGTTTGAATTTTTATGTTTTCCTAGGATATCAGTAAGTGGTGGGTACGATATGTTCACAACGTTGGGCAGAGGCAGTGAGTCAAAGCTCCTAGTCAGCCATGTAGTCATAAGGACAAACAATTGATATTCTACAGTGTGCTGTGCTGCTAAACAACAATGCTCTGCAGTTGTATTCAATGAATTTTTGACTTAAAATACTTTTACTGATGGATTTGTTGAGATGTGATGCCATCTCTATATATACTTTAAGGAAACTAAGATATAACACACTATCATCCAGAAGACAACAAAAGAATTAACAAATATAAGTACTGCTTTGATAATAATTTAATTACCCCCAATGGAATGTGTTTTACTCTTACCACGATACTCTGTACTACATGTATAACATTCATTTACAGATGGAAATTAAAGAACCTGGGTAGTAGGTTTCCTCTGTGAGGATATGTGGTATCCAAGAAAAATGGCAACATGACTACTGTATTTTATTTAACATGGTGGTGGTAGTGGGAAGAACCTCAAAACTCTCATGCACTTACATGGGAGCCTTTTGGAGGATAGTTGGACCATGGGGTGCTGTTCTGATGGGTAGAGTTTAGTGTATGAATGCGCTGTTGAGAGGGGAGGTCTGGTCAGAAGAGGTGTGTCCCTGGGGGCTGGCCGGGAAGAGATACCCCCCTTCCCTGCCTGCTGCATCCTTCCCTCTCTACTTCTTGACTACCATGAGGTGAGAAACTTTGTTACGTGGGCCCTTTCCACCACACTATTGAGCCAGCTGACCAAGAGCTGCAACTTCTGAAACTGAGAACCAAAATAAACCTTTCCTCCTTTTAAGTGTTGTGTGTGGTATACTGTGTCTCCCCGGTGGGAAAATAACCAACAGATGTTTATTATTCTATATATTCAATTATTTTTACAAAAGATTTGGTAGGTAGAGGTTGGTACAATATGAAATTGTAACTGTAATTTCATTCCTACATAGTAATTTTAATGTTGAACTGCTCTCAGAGGACCTTGAAAGAGTTCTAAGAAATAAGACAAAAATAATTGACTATCAGACATTAATGATTAACTACATTCCAGCCTTTAAATAACCTGAAGAAAGCTGGGACTCAATATGGTGCTGAAGATTTCATTTGCCATGGCATAATAATTTACTCATTTTGCATGCATATTTAAATAATGAGCTGCCTTATTTGTGTGCATGTGTTTTCTTCTAAGCTCACACTTTTTATCATTTATTGCAGAGACATTTGATGCCTCTCTGTAAGGTGCCATGAACTATTTTATGAACTGGAAAAAGAACAGAAAAAACCTTCTTTATTAAAATCAAAACCTTTAAAATACTGTTAAATGGTGCTATAGGGAAACATTAACATTTTCCATACAAAAGATTTTTTAAACTTTCTCATTTGTCCACTCAAGACAAATTTTTGGTAACAAGACAATCTAAAAGTTAAATAAACAAATCCAGCTTATTTCAAATTAGATACTTCCTGGTATATATTTAAATGAGATCCATTTTAATATTTTGGGTGCCAAAACAAACCAACCTCTTGTAAGTAAAGAATTACTCCTTGCAATTTAGCTTTGTTTGCATTGTCTTGAGAAAAGGTGAACTCCTACTGCCTTACCTAAATGAATATTCACAGATGAATAACTATTTTGCTTGAGACTTCTCTTTCTGGGTTCAACCTATACTGATCTTTTAAAAAAATTATATCCTACCATTCATAAATATACCTTCTTCCTTTAACTGTCAACATGTATACTTAGTTTTAGAATTTGCAACTTTCTGATATATACAGTCTATGAGGTATTATGTTCATTCACTGAAAAACAAAATTATATGGAATCTGCATCTATCATTCCCCTTTTTATTATTCCAGGCACAGGAATTCATAGATTATCTGTGTGCTGCATCCCAGGCCTCCTACCATTTGATTTACTGCTGGAAATTCCTGAGCTGCCAAAAATTTTTTTAAGAAAAATTTTCAAGGTGCAATCTTAACACAGTCATTTTGACTGTGATAATAATCCTCTCACCATGTCACACTGCCCAAAATAGCACTGGCATTCTTTGACTCTGTGAGGAAGTGAATTGTGTCTTATTTCACTTTATATCTACTTGCCAGTCATGCCATGTGGCAAGGTTCATAAACACAGATGACTGAGCTTGAGATAATCGTTCTCCAGATAAAGAATACAGACAGTAATTGAAAATGAGTAATACATCAATCATTTCTCCACTTAGATGATACTGACAATTCAGTAGTCTGAAACCCATGCCATAGATACAGTTAATCCTGATTATTTTTTAATGCTTTCACATATTTGAATTTTATTTAAACCTTCAGTAACCCTGGAAGATATCACCAATGTGGAAACTCAGGTACAGAAATGAAGTAGCAGCTTGTATAATTATCTAGTGACTTCTTTCATAAATGCAACATCCTTACATAACAATTCAATGTCGATGTATTTCTTTTACCTTTATTAAAGTATAGTACACATATGTAAAAGTGCACAGCTTTATGTGGTCTCGCCAATTGAAGACATTTACATAACCAGGACTTAGACTACATGGCCCACAAACTCCTCCATGTAAATGCTGATCATTATCCACTCTGTCAGCTTTCAAATGGAACCAAAATCCTGAATTCTAGCAACATACATTTTTACTTGTGATTATACTGGTTATCAGTAGAATCGTATATTTTTCTTTATCTTCATATTATGTTTGTGAAATTCATCCATATTTTTGCAAGTAGTTGAGGATGTCATTTGCACTGTTGTGCTAATCTCTGAATTTTGACTATATCACAAGTTATCTGCTATGCTACTGATGGACATTTGAGCGTTTATATTTTGGGATTATTTAAAAATAGTATAGCTGGGCACAGTGGTGCATTCCTCTAATCCCAGCTACTCAAGAGGCTGAGGCAGGAGGATCACAATTTTGACGTCATCCTGGGAAATTTAGCAAGACCCTTTCCAAAAATTAAGAGAAAAGGGTGTAGCTGATTGGTAAAGCACTTCCCTAACACTCATGAGGTCCCATGCTGGATTCCCAGTACCACAAAAAAGTGTATAATAATATTGAACATGACATTTAGTGAAATTATCTATATACCTCTCTTTATATATGTAGATTTGGGAGATTACATCTATATGTGGTTATACAAAGGAATATATAACTGTAAATCAGATAGCGAAGGCATATATTATACAAATATTCAGCTTTGGTAGATACGATCAGATTCTCAAAGTGATTCTACCAGCGCTCTTCTCTGCCAGTATTATTAAGTCATTTAATTGATAATTACATTTTCAATTGTAACTTCTACTGTCACCACTGTCTCTTTTCCTTTCTTTTCAGTACCAGGGATCAAACTCAGGACGTTGTACTTGTGAGGCAGGCTTGGCACTACTCAGCTAAATCCCTGGTCCAACCACTACCATTTTTTAATAATATTATGATCCAGGCACCATGCTAGGCTATGCATATGTGTTTTTTGTGTGCATATTTATAGGCCTTACACACACACACACACACACACACACACACACACACACACACACATTCCAGCTGTAATAATTACAGTTCTTCTCCTTTGAAGTGGAGCACTTATATTAATTCTTTGGCATTCTCCACTAGTGCTTTGCTTCTTTGGGTTGTAATGCAATGTTAATTAATTTTATTGATCAAATTGTTCTATCTTTGCTAATGTAGACTTCTTTTTCAGGCTCTGACCCTAGCTTTACAATAAACCATTTATTCAAGGAGACTTGGTTCCTTGCTTGGAATATCTTATTTGAAAGCAAAATCTGGGTAGTTCATGTGCCAGTTGCTATGAACTCTCTTCTTCTTCTTCTTCTTCTCCTCCTTCTCCTTCTCCTTCTCCTTCTCCTTCTCCTTCCCCTTCTCCTTCTCCTTCTTCTTCTTTTTGGTTTTTGAGACAGGGTCTCACTATGTAGTTGAGACTGACTTGGAACCCACTATGTAGCCCAGGCTGGTCTCGAACTCACAGTGATCCTCCTGCCTCAGCCTCCCGAGTGCTGGGATTACAGGCATGCGCCACCACACTGGGTGGGATATTGTCTTTTGTAGACCCTCTTAGCTTACAGAACCTGTAAGTGCATAAGTCTATACCAACTTGTATAAACACATACATGTATAAGTTTTTGTGTGAACATAATATTTCAAGTCAGTTGGGTCTTTCAGTTCATAAGCATGAAATATTTGTTCTTTTACTTGAATTTGTGAAGTTTTTCTCAAACTACTGCTTGGTGAGATGCATATAAACCTATATTTTTATTAAATTTATACCTAAATATTACATTTATGAAGTGCCATTCTAAGTGATACATATCTTATAATGTTTCCAATTCTAAGTGGATGACACATAGGAAAGCACCAAACTTTCAAATATTTATCTAGTTTCATGTCTCTGCTATAATAGCTTATTAACACAGATTTTTATCATTATCGGGGTTTTCTATATTAAAAACTGAATAATCTGTGGACAGAATAGTTTCATTTATTCTGTCCTACTCTACTTAGTGTTTCCCTTCTTCTCTCACTCCTTCCTTTAAACTCCTCTGTCTCTCATTCTTTCTCTTTTTTATCTCATTTTTCCACTCAGGACTTCTGATACCATGCTGTATAAGAGTGGTGAGTGAACACATCCGTGGCTTGCTCCTAACCCTAGAAGAAAAGCATTCAGTTACTCATTATTAAGTATGACGTCACCTGTAAGTTTCTTGGGGGTTTTTGTTTGTTTGTTTGCTTGCTTTGTTTTTCTTTGGTACTGGGGATTGAACTCAGGACCTTGCGCTTGCCAGGCAGGTGGTGGCCACTGAGCTAAATTCCTGGTCCACCTGTATATTTTTTGAAGATGTTCTTTATAAAATTGAGGAAGTCCCACTATATTCCTAATTTGATGAGGCATTTATCTTGAATAGGTATTGCATAATGTCAAATGCGTGTTCTTCATTGAATGGTATGATCATATAATTTTTATCCCTTTGACTTTTGATATGTTGGAATACATATTCAAATTTTGAATTTCAAACATTGAAGCATAAATCTTCCATGGTCATAATGTGCAATTATTTTTATTCCTTTAATATGATCATATAATTTTTATCCCTTTGACTTTTGATATGTTGGAATACACTGAATTTCAAACATTGAAGCATAAATCTTCCATGGTCATAATGTGCAATTATTTTTATTCCTTTTTGGATTTCATTTACTAGCATTGTACATTTTTTTTTTTGTACCAGGGATCAAACTCAGAAACTTGCATTTGTGAGGCAGGTAGCAGCACCACTCAGCTAAATCCCCGGCCCTATAGTTTTGGGGTTTTTAAAATCTATGTTTGGTAGTTTCTAATTTTCTTTTCTTGTCATTTTTCTTTTCTTTTCTTTTCTTTTCTTTTTTTTTTGCTTCTAGAGTAATATTGTCCACATTAAATAAATTACCAAGTATTCCTTCTGCTTTGATATCCCAATATTGATTGTGAAGAGCAGATATCACTTTCTTTAACTGCTTCATAGAATTCACAATGAAAGGATCTGGTGATTTCTTTTCCAGAAGATTATTAACTATTATTTAATTCACCTGATAGATATAATCCTGTTCAGATGACTTGTTACTCCCTATGTGAACTTTAGTGGATTTTCTTCAAAGAATTGGTTTATTTTGTGTATGTTATGAGATTTGTTATTATTTGCATGGGACTACTAGAGATAATACCTCTTTTATTTCTGATATTGGTATTTGTAACTCATCTCTTCTTATTTCTTGATTAATCTGTCTAGAGATTTATCAGTTTTATTGATCTTTCCAAGGAGCCAGCTTTTAACTTGATGGATTTTATCCATTTTTGTTTGCATTTTACTGATGTCTACTTTAACAGTTATTATTTCAGTATGCTGCTTTCTTCTTACAAGTCTCATTCATGGCTTGGGAAGAAGCTTAAAAGTTAGGAAGAGTGAGGATATAGAAAATAAAAAAGTAAGCAATCTTATAGGACAAAGAAGCTAAACACTGAACTATAAAGCTGAAAAATTAGCCATGATTGCAAATTGTAAGATCACAGAGGAAAGTGATACACTGAGAAATCACAGTCATACTTACAATCAGCTTTCCCTTGTGTATATCCTCCTATTAATTTCTGCGGGATAAGTGGCTATGAGTCCTGAAACAAAGAAGTTAGAAAACAGAGTCAACTTTGTTGATTATCCTCTGGTACTGGGGTTATCTTAATCTCTCAGCTGGGAATCTTGAAAGATTACTACCTAGTGGTAGAGTAAACAAGAACTAGACTAAGATTTACAAAGATTGTAAATCTGTTTTGAGTCATTCAAGTCTCTCATGGATTTCTTCTGTTTGCTGCCAGAGAAAGAAAGAAAAATGTCATAAGAAGAGAAAACATACATCACTTGATTTATGCCAAAGTAAGTGGGTTGAGGAACTTATTTTTCCTTGGGTTGATTGGATATCCATAGAGAAGTTGTTGAATCCTGACTCATACACAAAAGTCAAATCCAGTTGCAGTATAAAAAAGAAATTCTTCCCAAGGCAGTTCCTAGAATATTGACATAACTTTAGAAAGGAGGCATTCAGTGGATGAATATTTGACCAGTTGGCAAAGATAGCCAGAACACTGCCTGAATATGGTAATATAGTTAACAATATGTAGCAAGGTTTCTAGGAAATTTGTAAAATCTACCATAAGGGAAAGATAAGTTTGGAAATGATGGAAACTAATTTAAACTAGCTTGCACATCTGGTACCCAGAAGGTCCTAATGATAACTGTATTAAAAAGTCAAAGCTATAGTAGTCATATAATGCTGTGGTTAACTTGTATGTGAAGTACTAAGTCAGAACAAACAAATTACAGCTTAGCTCTATTAAGAATCCTTGTTATCATTTGTACTGTGGTTGAAAAGAAACCCTTTGGAAAGTGGTCCTTCAGTGGGAATACAATGTGTAGGATTTCCTTTGAGTTTGGAAGAGATGGAAATCTAACTTAAACGAGCTTAATCAAAAAGAATATGGTTGCTGAATTAAGGAAGCAGGTATACTGAAAGTTTAATGTGTTCTCACCAACTTGAGCTTTTGGATGTAGATGCAGGACTGTCCTATCAGGCACCTCGTACCATCCAATAAGACTGTGCCATGTCACCCAATGGGATAGTTATGCATGTACCACCAGTATTTCATAAACTCAATTAAAGCTGAAAAAAAAGTGAGACATGAATTAAAGCTCTACAATAAACATTTTAATTATAAGTAGATATAGTAACTCAGCAATGACTTTAGAAAATGTCTTTCTATAAATGGGTTCTGTGTTCTCCTGCACTGGCTCTTTTCTCAGATTGGCATTCTCCATGAAACTGTCATCTAAAATTTACACTTATATCCTAGAAGTTTAGTGATACAAAGAGTATGGAATCTTCTTTTCAGCAGTGAAATTCTAGGGCAAGACTCTTGGGTCCAAGTTGCATCCTGTCCTTATTCTGAATCAGTGACAGTTACCCTGGTTGACAAATACAGCTAGGAGATTATGTCCATCCCGAACAGACTACAAAAATTGAAAGCAGGAGAAGGTTAGTTTTTCAATTAAAAATTCAAGTTCTTTTTTACCAGAAATGGGTTAGAGGATTATTAATAATGGCCAGACAAGAGTCAATCTCAGTTGAGAAGTTTAATATCTAGTCCTAATATAAACATGCATATTCTCTTAAAGGAGTTTTTCTTAAGCTACTCTTTTTGGAGCAAGTATTATGCTCCTTCATTAGCACAAATAATGACCTAAAGGGAGAAGAATAATCAAGGAATATATAATGAAAGTAGTGTTACTTCACATTAAGATAATAGAGGTGAATCACATTTACTTTACCAAATGAGTAGATTCACTTTAGAAATATCAACACAAATCTTTTCTGTGTGTGGGAGACTCTCTTGACCATAAACAAAGTCAACAGAGGAGGGACACGTTTAAAAATAGTTCTCATAACATATGAGTTAGTGAGAAGGAAAGATATTGCATTATTTGTTGAGTTGAAATTTGCATAGTGAGCTTTTCATTAATCATTTTCCTCCCTTGTCTCTCATTGAGCTCCTCCAATATCCTTAGGCAGAAACACACTGAACATGCTATTTTTATAACAGTCCAGAAAGCAATAAGCAGGCTACAGAATGTTGTACAAATTAGTAGTGATGCAAAATGAAATATGAACATTACATTTTTCCTGGCATTATTTCAACTCTTCATCCATGCTGATATTTAACACTGAGAAAGATAATAATATACTCTGTCAGTTGCAAATAACAAAAAAATGATTCTTTTATTTCATTAAACATTTTTCCTGGGAGTCAGGCTTAAGTTTGATGCTGAGAAAAATCAGCATCCTTCATTACTGTGTGGTCTACAGAAAGTATGGCCTTGCTTTTAGCTACTTGCTGATCATTGTTCTTAAGAACGAGTCCAGGGCACTTTATAGGGCAGAGGGTGCCATTAAAACTCTTGTAGGGAAGTGCTGGGCTTTGAAGAGGAATATTTTGCTTTTTCTCAAATCACCCAAACTGCTGCTAATTCAAGCCACATCTTAGATTACTAATCCTGATTCTTTCTCAGTGAAAGACTGTGTCATTAATCCTTGTCTCATTCCACTCATAAATGCTTAAAAATGTAGCAAGAAAATCCTTCGGTTTTCTTTCGAAAACTTCAAATGAAAAGTTTGTGCATGTATCTATCAATAGAGATTATTTATCATATCCAGTCATTTATTATCCCAATCATTTGTTCTCACTCAGTGAGCATTTATTAATCACAGACTTTGTGGAAGACCCTCTGCAGAGATGAATTATATGTAGTCCCTTGCCATCTGGAGGAAAAAAATAGTCACTTATGCTATTAACTATAGCACAAGACAGAATGGAGCAAGTGCTGCACAATTCATAAAATAGTTTCACATATTTGTAACAAATTATTTAGGGTAAGGAGAGAATTCAGTAATCTAGTCTTCTCCCTTGATTTCTTCTTTTTGCTCCATAAGAGTAGGGCCCAAATCTGTCATGGCTTCCTGTTTTTCTCGCTTGCTTGGAGCAACAAAGCCACTCAATGAATGATCATTGAATTACTGAATGAGTTAATATGGAAACATTAATTAATAAGAGGTTACAAGGACAGGTCTTATCTGGAAGTGGAGGTGATGAGAGAGAAAGCAGATCCACGTTTCTGATTTTGGAAACTAGCAGAATGCTAATGGCAGCATTTGTAGCTGATATAAAGCTGTGGAAATGTAGAATGCAAAGCATAATAATTCTCACAAAACAGTCAGGTTAAGACAGTGAATCAATACAAAGAAAAAAAAGTGCACATCTCAGAAGAACGCTTGGAATAAATGTGGAACAAAGAACTCATGTGTGAATAAGAGCAAATAGTAATGAGGCAAAGTCAAATCCTTTGGGAGCGATGCATCAAGAGTAGGGCATTACAGTAAGAAAAGGCTTTTTCATAGAAGCTCACTGTAGATTTAATTTTATATGTCAAAGGGTCTGGACAATTACCTAAGGGAATTTTAGTTATTTTTTTTCTTGTGGTTTTAGCTAGAAGCACAGTGAAAGTCAGCAACAAATAAAGTTCTCTAAACAAAGTTTAGAAAAGAAGAAAATGAAGAAGACGATGAAGAAGAGGAGGAGAAACAAGAAGGGAAAATGAAGAGGAAGGAGTAGGAGGGGAAGAAGAAGAGGAAAACGGAGAGGAGGAGGATTCAGGAATTATAATAGGGCTATTAGGGTTAAAAAAGATTTAAGAAGAAAATACTGTATTTTGCTTTTGAGCTGGCTTTTCATACCACAATAAAACATCTGGCATAGATCAGCTTGAAAGGGGAGAAATTTATTCTTGCTCATGCTGATTTGTAGTTGCCGTTCTATTGGTTTAGGCCTGCGGTGAAGCAGAAACACGGAAGCAGAAGGGTGTGGCATTGGAAAGCTTCTCACCTCAAGGTGGCCAGGAAGGAAAGAGAAAGGGAAAAGAGCAGGGGAGGAAGGAGCTGGGCAAGAGATACAATCCGCAGGGTTATGTCCCAGTGACCCACTCCCTCCACCTATGATAGGTCCCACCTCCTGTATTTTCATTCCCTCCCAATAATGCGATCGAATGATGATGTCGTCCATACACTAAGCAGCTGCAGAAATTAGAGTCCTCGTAATCTGATCACCTTCTGAAAGGTCCAACTTTGAACCCATGCGACTTTAGGGGGACACTGTATTTCAAAATCATACTACCTATTATTTTGTCTTTGGAATTTTTCATTAGAGAAATAGAAGCCGGAGGAACAGAAAAAGGAGAACTCATACAGGGGCCTGAGAAGACCCTCCTGCTCTGGGTCAGTCTAATTGAAAATCTAGTCACACATTTGTAGAGACCTCAAAAGCCTCTGAAGAGAACAAGTTATGATTTCTGTTGCTGAACTCTGAGAGATGAATTAGGTCTGGGGATGTGCAGTTCTGAGCCAGAAGCATGAAACCTAGTTACACCAGAGTCCAAGTTTTCTCCACTATTCCTTAAAGGAATCCTTCAAGAGTCAAGATTTGTTATGATAATTCAGTACATAAAAAATGGGAGATGTAGTCAAACAGAAGTTTATTTAGATGGCAATGTTGTTTATCAGTTTTAGTAGGTTACTGGCAAGAATTATATTTCATCTGGTCTGTATAAAGGCAGGCATTGTTCTGGCTGATCTTGAATGGTTAATGAAGTGTTCTGACTTTTTGTTGCCATGCCAAGAGTTGTTAGAGATTTTCAATATTTCTATGAGGAATGATAAATCTCATGTAAGTGATTGAATCTGGAGCAATTCATCTTAATGATTGTAGAAAAGAGCTACATTATATTTAAAAATTAAAGGGAAAAGACATTTTGTCTAAATCTTTAAGGGAATTCAGATGACAGAATTAGCTGGCATAGGAAAACCAGACTAATAGAATTGACAGAAATTTTAATGCAAGAGAGACCAGGATTTGCATTTACTGCATTGTCAATCAGTTTCACAGTGGATTAACCATGTTTATTTTGGAGTAAATTATTCTGCGTTTGAATTTTGTCTCTCTTATCATGCTAGATACATGACAATGAAAGATTTAGCTTCTGGACTCTCAGTTTCATTATGTGTAACATAAGCACAATGATATTTCAGTTGTAAAATAACCATGAGAATTTAAAGAAATGATGAACTTTAATGAGCTTTTCACAGTGTCTATAGTATTGAAAACACTCAAAAAATTAAATGTCGTAATAAAATAAATAGTTGCAACTTTTTTGAAATAAATTTTAGTGTGCGCATATAAAGGTTTTTAATAGCAGAAGAGATGTCAAATAATTGAAGTGAAGCATTCCTCTTTTAATAAACTAATAGAAAATTAGAATAAAGAATCATGTCT